TGAGGGTCGCGGGTTCGAATCCCTGTCACACCAAACATGCTCGCCCTTTCAGCCGTGGGGGCGTTATAATGTGACGGTCAATCCCACTATTCGTTGGTAAAAGAGTACCCCAAGAGTTGGCGGTGGGTGGTGATGACTAGCTGCCTTCCCTCTAGTCTTACACTGCTAAATTAGGGACGGCTAGCGCAGATATCCCTCGTGTAGCTTTGCGACGAAATAAAAAAAAAACAACAAAACAAACAAACCATTAAAGGCATTGTGGGAAGCTATAACGCAGAGGAATAATAATATGTATGCTGATGATGCAAAGCTATCCTTCACTTCCATAACTTAACACTTCGATAGCTACGTAGTATGGTAAAGGAAGTGTTTCAGTATCGGTGGAAACGTTGGATAGGATAAGTTGTTAATGTGTCGGTGGATTTCAAACTTAGTCTGAAGTTTTAGTGTTTATTTTAATGAAACGAGATATTTCTATACAGCTCTGACACAATGCTACCTGATATTAGAGCTTTAATCAAATGTATAAGTAAATATTGCCAACTACACGTCCAGCTGTTTCACACAGCGTCTGTCATATTTGGCCTCCCTAGGAATAGGGACAAAAGCAGATTAACGGTCTCGAAAAGAAACCTTAAAGACCCAGGAGTTACTGTGGATCTCCTCTTTCTTCTCCTTGGAAGAGACCACTCGTTTTGTCAAGTTACAACAATGGTCTGAGGTAGACGACTATCAGTAACGAAAGACAGCAAGTTTTATAGTGATAACTGACGAGTATAGTTCCTAAGTTTATATGGTCTGAGGTAGACGACTATCAGTAACGAAAGACAGCAAGTTTTACAGTGATAACTGACGAGTATATTTCCTAAGTTTATATGGTCTGAGGTAGACGACTATTAAGAACGAAAGACAGCAAGTTTTACAGCGATAGCTGACAAGTTTAGTTCCTAAGTTTATAAAAGAAGAAGAAAAAAAAACACTAGATGCAATGGTAGTAAAATCTAGTAAAACCGTAATTTGACACGACGTTTCGGGCCTAAACCCTTCTCTAATAGATAGAATGGAACGTCGTACATATTAAGGTTTTAAGTAACAACCACTATAAATTGGAAAAGGTTAAAGGTCGAGTGTATGTACGAATGAAACAGTTTAGAAGAAAATATTCTTCACATGTTAACTATTAATTAGTTAAGAACTAGCTAGAGTTCTATTAAACAACAACAAAAAAAAGACGACAGATGCAGTGCTTATATTTTTGTCACAGGCAGAGCATTTGTTAATATAAAAAGCATATAACAAACACAGTCTATATAAAGACGTGGTGGAACGGAATGTATGAGAACTACAATATAACATTGTTTGGTGCTTAGTTAGTAGTGTGGTGTCACTGAAAAGTCGTCACTTTACGTAACAGCATTTTCTGACGCAAAATATTCATACACTTGTGTTCAGGTCGGGATTTTGAATGCCCTAGTAGTTAATGGCATTGAAAAACAAAGGAATGTGGATCTATTTGGGGTACCAGGGCCACCCAGAAAGAGACCTGAAACAAGTTGTACACCAGCCAAGGTAAGCACAGTGCAGCGTCTTGTAACAAGTGAGGATCCGCGAACACAAAAGTCAGTCGCAAAAACTGTACACGTGCCTCAGGCAACAGTACGCAACGTAATCAAGAAAGATCTCTGTCTGAAAACGAGAATAACGGGGTACGGGTTCACCAAGATAAGGCTTGCACCCTTACCATCCGTTCAACTGTAGAATGAAAGAGGTATTCATGCTATTCAGTATGAAGACATATCGGTCAAGGCGCTGGACGACCGAAAACTGTCGTCCTCGTACACTAGATGGATTAAGAAAAGCACTAGTAGGGAAGATTGGTGTGATTTGGACACGACGGAGCCTTCTGCAACAGAAACTACGCTGCAGGTCTATTGTCAAGATGCATGGTTGTCATATAGAGCGTGACCGTACGTAGCGACATGAACTGTAAATGCTTCAAAATCGTTTTAGTATAACGTACTCAATCTCTATACAAGCATGTCCCCTGGTTTCTGTATCACAAAAACACTCGCGCCTTTTACGAAATGGTTCAAGTTGAACTTTGTTTCTCAATTTATTCGTGTAGTAGTGATTGATGTTTCGAGTAAGTGATTTAGTTCTTCCTAAAGCGATGATAATAATAATCTCGATCGGGTAGTTCCATACATACAGTAAGTCTGGCCATGCGTTTATCTCAAGACATACATGGCAGTTACTAAACTAAATCGTGATCAGGCGACTTGAAGTTGATGAATATATACAAATTATGTATTGTAGGGTATACACAATGAATCAATAATTCACAAAACCTGGACATCCAACCTATAGAAGCACGAGATATCTTCTAGGAAACTTCACTCGTGTATACAATCAAGCCCAAACCGGGTCAACCCAGTGAACTGCACGCTCGCCTAGGGTCAAGACCTCCATTAAGACGAGAGCGCGTTTATCTGCTTTTTTTTTTTTTTAGTATTTCGGACTGTTAGCAACCTTACAACGTAAACACTACAGTACCGCTTCTCCCAACCGCCCACTATCGGTAGACTTGTATGACAGGAGCAAAACACCATCATATCTGTAAACACACAATGGAGGTCTGATGAAAAGTGGCCACTTGAAAAACTGAAGCACAGGTGTAAATCTTTACAACCAGTATATAACAAACATCCCACACATCTGGAACACGGTTGAAACGACGCAAAATCCTAAAAGACTGTGTACACTATAGGGTCTTACAATGTGATGACTCAAGTTTTTGTAACAAGGTTTATTATAACGTGTGTGTGTGAACCCTAGTTCCGTCATCTCTTCTGGTGCACTAAATGCCTGTTAATATACACACATATTCTGTATGAAACCATCCTGAAAGCTCTAAACACATTTAATAAACACAACTGCACTGACTGCATGTGCAGTAAACAGAATCACGCAACTGTAAAATAAGCTGGAATACAGTAACGTTCGTCAGAAAGAACGCTAATTGCGATCACCATGGGCAACACGAGGTGTGTTTCCATAGTACCCAGGTCACAATCATTTTCATGTCTCTTTACAAAGCTACAAGCCCTCAAAGCCTCCATACCGACCCTATAGTTACACCAGCTGGAGAAGGCAAGGTTTCATTCAATCATGCTTAATTCTTTTCCTTCGTCTCCCACGGGATTAAAGCTATGCAAGAATTTTTTTGGTATCACAGTATTTAATCACAACTACGTGTACAAGTGGCCCTTGGCGCTTCAAACTTAAAAGACAGCCGCTTAATCTGAAGCAGATGATTTACTCATTACAGCGCCATCTTTAGACTTGCGTATTCAACATGCCGTTCACAGTACATCATGTATAGCTAGAAGCTAAACTTGAGTCATCAAACCAGCCTCACTGAACGCAACTACTCGGTATTTTGTATTTTATGACCAATCTCAACAGCCCAGCAGCAAGTGAAAACTGTAAAGACTGGTTCATGTATTTAGTCTTTAGGAACTATACGAATGTAAGGTGTTTAGAAGTTATAAATTATTCACATGTGGTTTTTCATTTCTACTTCAATGGAGTCAACACAAATCACGATGCAAAAAATAACAACAACAAAAAACTGGAGAGTGAAATTTACAGATTTATACACATTCTCACGATGCATCCCTCGAGGGTGAGAAAAACACGTTTTTAGTAATCAGTACAACTTTTATCACTATTGAATAAATAAAATATTAAAGGAAAACGGATAAAACGCAGTTCATATCCCACGAGGCTTATAGTTAATTACGAGAATGTATAATATAGTTGATTCCCAAATATTTTTTTTTTCACCGACGACACCTTAACCCACCTTGATTTGCACGAGGAACTCTCTAGAAACTTCCCGCGATACACAGTTTAAGAAATAAATTTAAAAAGTCCTGCGAACGTTCTTACACTCCAACAAATACCGAGTATTTGATACAGTTGAACTAATTCTATGACGTCACTGTTTTTACTGCTACTAACCTTGAATTTAAAGAGTTTTTGCCACTTAGCTTTATGCACCTAAGTGATAAGCGATTTTTTTCGAGATTTCTAAATTAAATAGCATTATTTAGTTATTTATATTGCATTTTAAGTATAAAAAAAATCAAATACATAAGACTGTTAAGGAAGAATAAACTATTCAGGTTTAATGTCACAAACAATAAAAATATACCTCACTGAATGTCGAAATATCCATAACCAACAACAGTGAATACCAGTGGTTCCCAACCTGGAGGTCAGCGAAGGTAATACGATCTCATTATATAAGTAAGTTTTTTAATACTGTTGTTTTTTTTTAATTGCACACTCAATTATATGTGTCTTTTATTTGACAATGAAAAATGGGAAAACGAGTTAATTATTAGTTAATAAAAACAGTTTGTTGGCTAGAGGGAATCTTTCAAAAACATGGGGTCCGTGGGAGAAAAAATAATAATAAAAAGGATTCTTGGTCGTGAAACGGTTGGGAACCACTGGTCAATACCTAAGGGTAAAGAAACCATGTTTCACTGAACATAGACAGAGAGAGAAACAAGTAATGGAAATTACAGAGCTAAGTATCCAACTAAGCCCAAATGTCTATATTTAAAGATCTTTAACGACGTTGGATCATCTTACGTTAGAGAAATTACACACGAACGTTGGTATTCGTTGTAACAAAACATAACGTTCATGCTTGGGAGAAACATGAAGTACAAAGCGAGAGCTGAACTTTCTAAAAACATCAAATATTTGAACTATGCGTTTTTGTGTGTGTGTAAAACATCTTTATCTGGTGCGTTTCTACTAAAGCGGATCGAGAGCCTCTGGATAGCTTCTCAGATATACCATACAAAGCTGAGAATTCCATTAGTAGCCGTGATTGAAATTCTGGGCAAACAGCGCTCAGAGAATTGGGATTTACGGAAAAGAAGGTCTTGAATTCCGGGAACAGCTGCGCGTCTCTCAAACCACGCTGCTCCACTGACAGCTCACACAAAATTGCCGCACATTTCATCGAGCTGTAATCTCAGAAAAGCCGTAGTATCCCTTCATGATATGAACAGGCACGGCGTAGTTCATAACGAAAGAAAAACACGGCTCGGGGATATGAAACGAACTAGAAGACAGACGGGGGCTCGGTTCTTCTTGGTAGCATTCTAGTTCCCCCATTCATCTAATCATCGCTACCCATCTTGTACAGACAGTAAATTAGTTGTTAGGAGGATCAACCGCACCCACCAGGTGCAAAAACATAGAGAACACTGCCCTCTAGTGGAGACAACTGCAGTTTTAAGCTGCCGCTGACTTCAGTCCAGTTCACAGCGTGAGAGAGCAAGTTGTCGTGTTGAAGAACAGGTTTTATTCGCGCAAAAATAAAGGGGGAAAAGTATTCGATGAGTGTATACTTTGTGCGAGTACATTGAAATTGTGATTAACAGTAAAATAACAAGTTATCAAATCTTATATCAATAATTCTGTCTTTATGGTTCTTCTGTTCGCTTAATTAACTTTCATAAAGGGTGAGCGAAAATGTTGTGCTTAGTGAGCCAGTTGTCCTCTTCTTCTTCTCTCTTTTTTTATTTTATTATATAAACTATTTTACCCACCGTTGTCAGAAAGTTATCGTCCCCAAGATGAGTGAGTTGGGAGTTCGTCACGACACTGCTAACTTTGTGTTAAGATAACTAATTTTCCCAAGTTATGGGGTCTGACTGTATTGTTGTGTAAACAGAAGCCATTTCATCCCAACAAACCTGCTTCGAGGAAGTATACCCGTAATACCACGAGTAACTTTGGGTGGACCTAGACCGATCAGCGAGGTAAGATATCTTTACAAATATTTTGGGCAAGGGCACTAAATATCATATTTACAAATATTAGTTTAGAGGCTTGAAATAACTGAAACATTATATAGTGAACGTGTAATTTTTTAACTGTCTAGAAAACCCATTACTTCAACAATTTACGATTGTGGTTTGAATTCGAACCGATCACCCAACTTTTGGCAAAAAATAATAATCTACCATACCACAAAAGTCGAAACAATTTGAGAGTAATTATTACTTTTGTTCTTCTGGTCCGGCTCAGAGATCGTTCAGGTTTTGCCAACAATAATTCACATTAAAGAAGAAGAGGTGAAAAATTGAAAGCACTCATTCCTATAGTATTTGTATTTATGGCAAAACTATTAAGGCTCTCTGCCGCCGTCCCTAGTTTTAGGCTACTAACCAAAGTGAAGGCAGCCAATCAGCAGTGCCCTCACACCTATCATCCACGCTAAGTTATTGACTGTTAATATTATAACGCAACAAGAACTTAAATGCGGTGAATATTTTGTAATATCTCACGGGTTTAAACCCGGCTCGCCAACTCCAAAATTCAGAGCTCGACCATGCGGCCATCCTGCGCCCTTATTATAACAGACTTCTTTGGCCGAACAGAAAAAAAAAAATGTCCATGACTAACCCGATAAAACGGTTCCAGCCCAGGTTCATTTTAGAAGTTAATCACAACTTATTTTAAAATAGGACTTCAGTATCATAACAAAGAGTCGAAGTTGCTACACACACACACACACACACACACAAAGTTGACTAAGTTAGCGATTACAATTAAATTTGGATTATATAACTTACTTTATCAAAGAGTAAAATGTTTTACTTGTTGGTATTAGGTTGGGCAGTAATCTTGGACCCCCTCCCTCCCCAATTTGTCTTGCTTTCTTCTTGCTAGAAAAAAGTATTAAAAGACTGACACCCTGTAGTAGAGTGGTAACGGTATCGCACATCTAATTTCATCAACCCAAAGTTTCCTGGGTGACTAAGCTTGGGTTGAATTAGAGTTGATATTGGTTTTCCATTGGATGATTAGGTTTGTTTGTTTCTTTAATTTCGTGCAAAGCTACACGGGGGCTATCTGCGCTAGCCGTCCCCAATTTAGCAGTGTAAGACTAGAGGAAAGGCAGCTAGTCATCACCACCCACCGCTAACTCTTGGGCTACTCTTTTGCCAACGAATAGTGGGATTCGAACCCGTGACCCTCGGATTGCGAGTCGAGTGCCACCTGGCCATGCCGGGCCCTGGGGATGATTAAGAGAACAGATGAACTAGGTAATCGGTGTCTGATGTTAGTATGAACTCACTTTCTCGAAACTTGTTCCACAGCGATCTCTTCATCTATCCAGCCGCCAGCAGGTGGATCACTAGAGATGACACAAATTAAAACTCTAAGACGCAAGAAAGTGCTTTCCAACAGCTTTTGTGAATAAGGAAATAAAGGCTTTCATTCCATCTGCCCCAAGTAACAGTAAAAGTATTTTTACAACTACCATCAAGCCGCCCGCTTTTCGCTGTAATTTCCTCTTTTGATGGATCTGCAAAAAGCAGCGTGCAACGTGAGGCGGGAGTAAGCACGAGCACCACGTCAATAGAGCTACAGAGTCCCAGGAGGTTCATCTATTCTGGTGGCAAGGCTTACTTACTACTGAACAACGCCGTTTTTATTATTATCATTATTATTATTGGTGACACGAAGCTTCAATAATATATACAGTATTATATAACTCGAAGTTGAATTTATAAATCACAACTGAATATACTGCCTTTCGAGAAAAATTTGGATCGAATCGATTCGTTGTATACAAACACACAAGTCCATCACTCATCTCGGCAGTGACGTGAAATTCAATTGATTTTTTTCTTATTCACTTTACATAACAATGCTAAAGCTTTGCAAAATAGGATAAAAACTTTCGTTAACTCAAAAGAATGCGTATTTTTCTAACAAAATCATTTTGTAAATCTTGGTGATTCAAGAAAAGTTCTAGATAAAAAAAAAACGTTCAAAGTACTTAGATATTCGTAAAATTAAAGGAAATAAAAACAAACTGTTCCGATGCATTTACAAGAAAGTATATAAAAACACACAATCAATTATAACATCGAGATGTGGTGTTTTAAAAATAGTCTCAGATATGGACGAATTTTTTTATACTGTCATGACTATAGGTATAAACACACATACAACGGCAGATATGTGCAAATAATTAGGTGTCAACTTACCTTTTAACTTAATTATTCGGCATAACGAAAAATAGCAATTCTATGAGAAGATGAATTTAATAGTATTTAAAAAAAGTTAGAACAGAACACACTTTATTACAGTTTACATAAAGCGATGCATGCTAATTCAATGGATTCTACCTCCACCAGGCTGTACCTAAACAAAGTACAAAGACACTTAATGATTGTACCAAGAAAAACACATTGCTACCATTGTATTTATACTGGTTGTTCTGTAATACATTCGACTTCACAGTGAAGCTATCGTTAGCTACATTCCAACATAATGGTTCTATTCAACTCGTGCTTTGAGTTCAAACTGCAATTTGGTGAGCGAAATGAAAAAATAGAGCAGGCGTTCCAGGAATTACAATTTAAGCTTTGTACTGAAGCATACAAAAAATGTTTTAGAGTATATATGTGTGTGTGTTTGGGGGAGGGAGGAGTAAACCCACGTGTTCTCTATTCAAGGGCAATATATATATATATATATATACGGTGTAAGATAACTGCAATGTTTATTGATATTGCAAAGAGTGCTCTACGGAATTCTTAGAGATCGTTTGATTTTCATCATAATGAGAACCAAGGATCCTGATGTTTTCTACCACATTTTCTAGTAGAATCCATTGGCAACAACAGAATGTTTTATATTAACAATAAAATAAGTCTCTGTGTTGCACGATAACAGTACCAGTCAAAGTTTGTTTGTTTGTTTTGAATTTCGCGCAAAGCTACACGAAGGCTATCTGCGCTAGCCAACCCTAATTTAGCAGGGAAGGCAGCTAGTCATCACCACCCACCGCCAACTACTCTTTTACCAACGGATTGACCGTCACATTATAACGCCCCCATGGCTGAAAGGGTGGGACGGGGATTCGAACCCGCGACCCGCAGATTACGAGTCGAGCTCTCTAACCACCTGACCACCAGTCAAGGAAAATGATAACGACTATGTACAATAAATTAACGTTATGGAAACTTAGTGTGTTGCCATATGTAAACCAAATGCTGAAAACCTTTAATTCATAATTTTTCTCCACATATTTGTGCACTTTCAAGTCAGATAAAATATCGAAGTTTAACACATGTGATACATTAAGTGAAGTAAGCTAATAACTGTGGCTAACTTGATCCCATCCAGTTATTTTATTTCTAAGTGTAAGGTACATACCACATTATATAATTTGTGTTGTTTGTTTAGCGCAAAGCTATACAATTGGCAATCTGCACTCTGCCCACAGCAGGGAATCAAATCCCGGATTTTAACACTGTAAGTCTGTGAACGTAGTGGATCCAGATTATATAAAAGGAGGTTTGGGGGGGGGATTAGCCCCATTTGTGTCTTGTTTATAAACTGATCAATCTAGGACGTAGTCATGAAAGCAACAATACTATTCTACAGATGTCTGCCCAGCGCGAGCATCGAAACTCGATTTTTAATGTTGTAAGCCCTCAGCAACCAGTGGGTTTTACTGAAGAGTCCAAGATTTATTCTAAAATCATAAAATTCAACATAAAGGAAACGAGTAAGATTTTAAAAAGTTATCTGACACATTTAAACACTTAGTTTTCTTAGCTTCGGCAATTCCTACAACTATAAGACAGGAGTATCAGATTATACGGTTGATCAAATAAAAATAACGAATTAAAGGTTTGTTGTACAACTTAGGGGATCCGTTTGCTCTAATTTTTTAATATTTGTTAAGCAAGCTAAAATAACTTAAAAGTCCATTCTATACCGTAGTGTCCTAGTCAGCAAAACCATGACTACTGACTCGTAATACCTTAAACTATTTATTGTTTGTATTTAATGAGTAAACATGTGATGAGCTAGCTATTGGTAAAGTTGAGCAAATAAAAACTTTTCTTAAGATCTCCTGGGGATCACGACCGTTTCATTTATTCGTGATTGGATTTTAACAACGTTTTTGGTCGAAGCCTTCTCTCGGATACTATCTAGTTCGAAACGCTGTCAAAATCAAATCGATATGTAGTGTGTTACATCCACAAATATGACCATTACTGTACCGAAACGACAACATCTGAACAACGTGGTTACAATAAAAAGTTTGAAGGCAGTTGTTAGGCATATAAATGAGATACACATTTTACTATAACGGACAAAAAAGTATCTTATTTGTCAATGCACAATCATTTCGACTTGATACAAAACTTTTAGCACGGAATAAGGTTTTTCGTTAGAAATATACAGTTTTTCCCTATGTTAGTTGTGTCCGATTCAGTAGTAGTAGTATAAGCTTGTTGAGGGTACTTAACTTTTTAATCTGGTACATATAAATATCTATTATAATAATATTTTTGTCTATCGTACGCACTTCATTTCAATGGATGTAAACAAAAGGTGGACGTAAATATACTTTAGTAGACAATCTGTACAACATAGTAAAAGTTTATCAAAGTTTTTAAAAAGGTCTAACGTTACGTTGTAGAATAACATTATAAGTTTATTTACTGATAGCATTAAGTAGGGTAAAGTTTAGCCCTAACTAAACTAAAGCAATAATAATAAAAAAAAGGTTCTTCTATGTGTCTTATAGCTGTTATGACAAACAAATGTCATCCATGTTTATCCCTACAATAACAAATAACACGTGCACCAAAAAAACCATTACAACGTTCCTGTGATGTGGTTCCAAACACAGGTACCAACAAAACCATTACAACGTTCCAGTGGTGTGGTTCCAAACACAGGTACCAACAGAACCATTTCAACATTCCTGTGATGTGGTTCCAAA